ATCGGTTATTTTGTTTGTTTGCTTTTTTACTGATTCAAACAAGCTTTTTCCTGTATGATTAACTAATATAACATTTTACAGTATCATTATCCACTTCACTGACTTTAACATCGTGTTACTTTTTCCGAATAGCACAAACAATTCTAATTCATCGTTCATGTAATGCAACTATAATTAGGAAACTGAAATGTTCATGTAATCAAACTTATCATAAAATACATAGATATTTGTGTTGTGATAAAATATATCTAACTGGTGCATATTGATGTACAACCATTTATTCTCACTAATCAACTACTTTTACAAGGTGATAAGATTTCGAAATAAATGCATAAGAAAATTACTTAAAGTTAGACTGCAAAATGCCTACTGATGATCATAATATGTTTCACAGGTTGAAATCATGAGTCGATTGAAGCTAGACCACCATGGAAAACCTGGAAGCAACGAAACGGCCGTCCAGTGCTTCCAGGTTTTCCATGGTGGTCTAGCTTCAATCGACTCATGATTTCAACCTGTGAAATTTCTAAAACTCTCCACAAAACCCATTCTTATAATATGTTTATTAATGCTGATTAATATGAACAGTAAATAGATAAGTCTTGCACCAATTCTCTACACTATAGTTCATTGCCATTGAATTTTATTTAGATCCTGAAAGTTCGGGTATGAGTTCAAAGATAATGAATAAATATATGACTGTTGACTTGTATAGTCCTTATGTCCATAGAATTCAAACAATCTTGTTAAAATGGCGATTATGCTAAACGACTTCACGTTGGTATGCGCTTGCCTTATTGCTGGATGTTCAAATATGACTTGTATAGTACCAATCATCAGTAAGGCGTGTTTTTACCATTGAGAGAACTGATAATACTTCAGGAACTTCCACTCTGTGACCCAATAGTATGATTTAATTTTCCTTACGAAGATAATAAAATTCTTGACTTCAATGTTAAATGATACCTGAAGGAGCAACGATTACGTTTATGTTTAAGATAGGTATCACTGGTCAGCTCATACAAACTCAAAACACCTATCAGGAAAATCCTGATAAATACTAATGACCAAATAAACGATAAATCATGCATGAACTGACACACACTAATCCATAAACACTTGTGATACCACAGATTGAAAGAGAAAGGTGAATTAGCTCTCTATTTTTTTTCAACGATAAGAATTCCTGATGCAATGTTAGATGAAAAAAATTGGAGTATTTAGGACACCAGTTTACGTTTGAAAACAAAAATGAAAAATTATTTTAATATAAATAATCTGTCACACAAACTGTAAAAATACAAAAGTGATCCCTAATAATTGTCGAGTTTACTCTACTTTACCAAACTGAGGCGTAAAGTTAGGGTATTCAATCTCGAATAGTTTGAAACAGATAATCAGATAAAACAAAGGCTTAATGGTTTAAAACTAGACTTGAATAAGCTTTTTTAAACTGAAACTCTTGTTGCGAATGTCAACAAACTGTTGTTAACGTAACAGTAATATAATGCACGCATTTCGAATATATATATATATATATATATATATATATATATATCACTGAAATAACGAAAACGCAGCTGTTCCAATAAATCCCATCACTGTTCTCAAATCTAAAAGTGTACAACCTTTTGGGAAGACTATGAAATCAATTATGCTTGGACCGATGAAGTTAGATATACTTTCACTTGGTTGCCATATAAGATAAATCCATAACTTCGATTACGCTGGTGTTGGGGATGATTGATAAAATGTTGTTGACTACTACTACTTGAGCCAAAAGAATCGAAACATAAGAATCAAAAATCATTCATATTATTTTCAGAATAATTAAATGACGCCTCCTCAAAACGATCCTTTATATTGAATCAACTTATCCAGTTTCTAATGACAATGTACCAGATATGGGTTCTAATAATAATGCACATAATTTTGATGAAATTTCTTACAAAAATGAGGAAAATATATCGGCTGACTCAAATGATGGTCAAAGATCTAATGTAATTTTGTTTGATGTTAATTTTCCTAATGACCCATTATCCGCTGATGAGATTCTTAATGAATTTGAAAATAATGCTTCAGAAGAACCAAACTCTGACCTCAAATCAAAAATCGTTCATTACCATCTAGTCATTTCTAGTGGATTCTACACTCAATGCGGGAAACATGTTTTAAATAAAGTCGAATTAATTATAACTTAGGGATATGAGGACCCAACACTATTTCGCGGGGGAGGATGGACGCGGAAAAATTTTAAAATCCGGACACCAACTCCGGATCTTCAAAAAAAGGGAGGTGTTAGGATATTCGGATAAATATATCAATAATTATCATGTTAACTCTAATGGTGTCCTTGGACGTTAAATGGACATTCCCTATTGGTCAGTATTTATTTCACTTGTTAAATATTGTACAAATGTTGTTTTCTATTTTATGGTACGAATTGGTTTGTTTGATTGGTATATAAACAGAGTATGTCTGAAATATAATGATTCATATCTCAGAGGCTGAGACTTGTGTTCTGGACTCAACTGGCTGGGCTAGACAGCGAAGCAGGGCCAATCAGGACTCTAGGTCGTTCGTACGTGTTTTTCGTGCCATTGATCCGATCGATAATACACTTCACTCTTATCTGCAGTCACACGTCACAACATCTATTCAAGACAGCGAGGTATATTAAACTGATGCTATAGACCAGCTACCGTAACCATGGGCTAAAAATCACCTCAATCTAGTTATTACAAGTTCAAAAATTGCGTAACCAATGTTCGGATATTCACGTTAACCAGAGCTTGTCTACTCATGTGTAATAACCGAATCATGTGAAACGAAAGTGAATGATTGTATGGCTTGAAACGTTTTGAGGAAACCAAAGCTTCATAACCATAGCTGCCGTAAGATTTTCTGCATAGGTTTAAAAAAGTCTGATATTGTAAGCTCTTTAAAGATACGTGAGTTTCTTTTACATAATTCACTGGTATATCCCTAAATTTAATGGACCTTTCTTCAAACAAGCTTGTACAAATTAGATTCTGGCAACAGAAGGGGTACTGCATATTACATGTAAATGGATATATGATACTAAATGATTAGAAGTAGTTTGGAGGAAACCCTTGACCTTAACCAGTTTAATATGAACAAAGGTTAACAATCTGCCGGTGCATTTGGTTAAATTAAGAGGGATTGAAATTTATTTTAATAAATTTACAAATATCCATTTAAATTAATTTTTTCCACCTTTTTGATGAAAAGAATAGAAAAATTTTACTTTTAAAATTCAAATTTAAAATTTTTAAATTACTTATCAAAATTAATTTAAATTTTTTTTTAATTAATGCCCGTTACATTGATTATCATTAAACTGAAAATTTTGGTTCGATCAAAGTGGCCAAGGGATAGGTAGCGGTATCATTGTCGAAATAAAGACTTCAACTTTTGTTTTCCTCAATAACTTAAGTCTTCTAAATTAAGGTTAATATTTTACCGACGTTTACGAGTTAATAGAAGTAATGTTTTGTTTATGACTTAGCTTATGTGAAACCAAGCTAACTGTGGCTAAACAATCGTGAAATAATTTTGATGTCCTGCAGGGGCTTTGTATTCCACATCTATCGGTTCAACTACATAAAATTAGTATTCTAAGGATGAAGATCACATAGCTTCGTTAAACCATAGTAACATTTGTATAATGTGATCCAAATGATAATAAGAATGCTAAAGGGGTTAATAAATATATTTATATGACCGAATATGAAACTGAATTCACAAACGAGGATCGTGGGAGCTCCAAAGTCAAAGATTGTAGATGCCAGAATAAAAGACGTACCAAGAAGCACTGAAAAAACTTATAAGTTACCAATCCGTCCCTCGAACTGTATTTCGAAGCAATCACAAGTGTACGTGAAATATACACCCTGGACAAACCCAAAAAAATGTAATCTGAACCAGAAACGTCCAATTCCATGCGTTTGCTTAATGAATGGTTCATGCAATATCAAGATAAGAGACAAGTTTATATATAAAAGGAAAATTATTAAAAGGCGACAAAACCTTTGGTATTTTAACTTTTATCTAATACTGTTTACCCTTAATCATTCCAGTATACAATATAAATGGACTGCTTCATGCACAACAGTGTTGAGAGATATTGAAATTTAAACAAAATGTGCAGCTATATGAGCGAAATTTATTCACCAGGTTTGAAAAAATGTTGTTTTGGACAATTCGAATGAGGATGAAAATCGAACTCACATGATTCTTCAATTATCCAAAGTTCGTTCTAAGAAACCTAACCTCTTGTGAAAGCTTAAAACCATACATTTGCTCAAAGGGATGAAGATTGAGTTTTGTCAGCGGTTTTATCACAATAACAAGATTTTTCAGGATAATGGTAGCCAAAACCACGAATGGCCGAAATATTAAAATTATGTCACAAAATTTGTTTAGGTTGCTCTGACTTATCATTTTTCACCAAACATTTTAATAATTACTTCAGAATGTTTAACCAAATTTATGCTTACAAGCCGATGAGCCTTGAAATCACCATTTATAAGACCTGTGCGTTTAGGCTTAAGATTTGGTGTGCAAAAAAATATAATAATAAAATATTTTCAACCCATATTTGTTTTTCTAAAGAAACATGATTAAAATTATGTACTGTAAAATAAAATTGTGTAATTGCAGGCAAAACCAAAAACACTGCAGATATGAAATATTTTCGATTCCTCAGGTAAACATCATTCAAATCACTCTGTATGATTAGCAAGCATTACCTACCATCAGTGTATTTTCGTATAGCTGGGAAAATTAAAGCAACAAAAGCGGTGAAGATACAGTTGAGAATCATATTGAAATACTTATCCAAGTAAAATAAAAATCTGTTGTAAAACTGATGGATTACAACGCAACAATAGGCAATAATATTCTGATTTTATCATACAGTCGTCAAGCTACATACAAATGAACAATCATAAGTAAATAAAAAGGTACACTGCACTCACCAATATCACAACCGGCGTGAGAAACTGTCTTTTCTTTTCTATCAGGTATAAACATCTGCTTACTGTTGTCTTCAAAAATCTGTTCCCAATCAACCGTGAAACCAAAGTTGCACAAAAACTGATTATTTAGCGCCACAATATCGTTGCGTTGAATGGCTGAAACGGAGAGAAAACAACAAATGTCATTTAAGCAATAAAATTATTGCCTTGAGACCTATGCTGTCGAATATGTTTCAGAAGAGATCTAACTAAACGAAATGTTTTTGTAAATAGCGAGCCATAATTATGCATCTCTTGTCTACAGATATTCTGTTCCTCAATTAAAACGGTGTGACTATCAGGGTTTGTACCTTATTATGATGAAAACGTTCGAAAACAATATGCTTTGGTTTTTCCTTCCCTCAAATAAGGTTTGATGATACTGCTTTTATATCTGCCATAGGAATAAAGTCCTATCATAAAAAGCTATCAATACAGAACTTGGTAGTTTCAGTATCTACAAAGGACAAGGAACAGTAGAGAACTCGTTCTGTTTGTTACTGTACGCTTCTCTTTTGGCCAGTGGTTACGAACCAAATTTAGGTGAGACTACAATTTATGAACGAATCAATCAGGTAAATATATAAGATAACAAGTCTCAAAATTTGGTGCGAAATCTACCTAGCCATTCGGCTAAATAGAGTTCTGACATTAAAGCTGATGTCAATTCGGGACGAAAACCCTAAATCTAATTCCCGAGCCTAACCGTCAACTGTAAATTATAACTATAATTCCTCACGCTGGTTTATAACCTTCATTTGATCCTAGTTATAAATGCCACAATAAGACCTAAGAAAATGTGGAGTGGTACAAAAGAGTGACAAAGCGAGAGGACGACCATTGCTTTTAGGGTAATAGCAGTAAATGTAACCCAACAGGCCACAAATTAATACAATCCAGTGTCAGTCAGGAAGTAAGTACTTTTAACCAACGGCGATCAGTATGACGTTTTAAGTTTTAGTTTCCATCCCAGATTTTTTAAATATGAGAATTAATTTCTGCAACTTAAGTATTTTAGAGAGTGTGTCATACGGACCATTAACTACAAATTAGGCATGAAAAAGTGCAAACGGTAATTAAAATAAGCTTCAATACAAAACATAACATAAACTTCATTTCTATAATACTAATACATATTTAATAGTAAAGGCAAGTACTTTGAATAGAGCTCAGTGTACAAATATACGAGGGAAAGAAAAATAAGCAGAGAAGGCACTTCAGATTCAACATATTTTCAAATAAGCATACAAGTAAAAGTCTTAACTTCACTTATTTTGTTTACTTTGCAAGTCTTTAACTCTTAACACTTGCCGTTTTTTTCAATGTACGTGTGAAAAATTCAGAGGCTCCTAGTAATTGTGAATTTATCAGAACAAAATGCTTTATCTTAGGTAAATTCTTCACCTTATTTGACTTGTATCCTCGTCTTGGATTCGGAAAACAAATTAGTGGAAAACTCAAGTTAGATCCACGTAGACACAAGGAGTAGAAATATCATCAGCATGGTAAAAGCGTATGCATAAAATAACAAACACGCTTTAAACAAAATTCTTACCCGTCAAACTTCGCAAATCTAGGATTTCAAGACTGTTTCGATTAACGACAAGTGCAGCACTAGTATTCATGATACGATATCCTGGTTCGCCACGAATAACTTTCAAAGAAGGTAATGATATCGTTTTAACGCTGTTTTGACCAATGTAAACATAACCAGACACGTCTTCAATCTTTTCAAGAAAAGAAAGATCAGGATCGGATCCATTTTCTATTTAATCAAACACTAGTCAATATGGTACCATACCAAGTTTCTCTAGACCACATATAACCAAATTCCCGATTATGTGGGTACAACCCCCGTACAGAAACTTGATGTATGTTAGCTGTATATGTTTTGGATTAGGCTTTCCGCAGTCTCTCTCCCAAACACGACAGGCTAAAGATATCAAAATAAAAACTTCACAGACCTTTAATCCATGGGTACTCAGAAATGGAAAATTTTAAGGACCAGCAGTTAAGAGCTAAAAATCTGTATCACTGAGGAAAGATAAAATACCGAAAATAAAAACCAAAGTCGGTGATAAAAAATTCATTTAGGAATTATTCTGTCGAACATCCCATCAACTTTTGAAAACGTGCCAAACATTATTAACCTACAGGGTTGGCAAAATTGATGCACTCAAACCCAACAAGTAACCACAATATATCTTTAATATCTTTGTCACAGGCTCGTATACGTCGATTATTTTTTTGAGATCGCTACATGTTGTTTTCATACAGTTTCAGATAATTCGCAATGTTCAACTGTTATAACCGTGCTATTCAACTGCACCAATTCTAGTCAGTTTGATAATTATTCGTGAATTCCCATACATTATAGTTTGGGTGAGCGAGTAGGTCTCAGAAATGAAAGGGTCCTGGGTACTAAGAGCTGTCACACTACTAAGCAGGTGGGTGGGTTGATTTTAATGTGAAAATAACAAAGTGATAATTCGAGTGCTAAGGTGATTGTTTCAGGAATTAACGAATACGTTGTTTAACTGGTAATGCAGACATTGTGAGAAGATGGACTTGAAATAACAAGAGGGAAAGCGAAAATGATAGTGATTCTAGTGATCCCATGTGTTGGAGTCTATCCTCGTAAGATTTTTGTTTTTGACTTATCAACCACTTGGTTACCCGTCTCTGTATTTGTCCTAATAGATTTATATCTCTTCAGAATAGAGGAGATGCAAGGAAACTATGTACTTCAAATTAAGGCCGTGCGTATGTCATAAACAGTTTTAGGAACAACTGTGAGATGATTGCGTCAAGTTGTCTTAGCATAAGGTTGAGAGTTCAGTCTAACTTTGGATGCATCCCTCACATAATTGAGCCGGTTTCCTAGCTTTTAGTGGTTCAACGGGCGAGATGAAAATCAGGAGAGTCAACTAGAGGGAATTTCCGTGGGGAGCGTAAAGGCTTTATATCAAATGACGCAGTATATTCATAACATGACATTTCTACAGGTTAAGCTTTATTCAATTGAAAGCTGCCCATTCCTCTATTTCTGTAATGTCTTTTTGAAAGTAAAATGAGTCCCATATCGCTGTTTACAAACTTCCAGATATCTGCGTCGTCTGTAAAAGTCAACTCAGTCGATTCAATTATATCTAACAGGTCGTTAATAAAGATCATGAATAGGAAAGGATGTAAGATTGATTCTTGTGAAACTCTTGATATTGAAACTATCCAATCCCTTGCACTCCACTTACTTTGATACGAAACACACTGTTCTCTATATAGTTTCAGATTCACGTAGGCAGTAAAACACAGAGATCTCTCTTTGCAACCTTCTCTATTAAAAGTATATATTGTATTGTAGCTAAAGCATTCACGAAATTATCGTCAGTCTGAACAAGTGAGCTGATTATTCCTTGAGATCTGGATATAGGTAGTTCGAGTGCGTCTTCAGTCACGGAGAAAAATTATTCTTACTATGTTTCCCCTTGAAAATGAAACACGAAGTAGTTTTGTTATTCATGGATGTGATGAAAGAGTATTACTTAAAGTACCTAAGAGGTCTCCCCTTCAAAGATTTTGCAGTCGATGCTGTCTCTATAGCTTATTCAAACAGCAAAACGCTTGGTGGGATTTTTATGCAACTTTTGTTGTGCTTTATCTCGAGGGGACTTTTTTAATGTACGAATAACTTCTGTAGCGTATCAATGATCTATTAAAGTGGAAAGGATTGTGAACTGCATGATGCATCATGGTAGTATTCTTCTTGTCTTTTCATACTGCACTAAGTGTAAGCTAAGGGCTTCTCGCAATCTGAGGACGATATGTTTTTCAGTCGGGTTGCCTTCTCATTTACTTATTTCCAACTCATTCCAAGAAAGCCATATTTTTCTCAAGGTATGAGGACACAACTCAAGAGCCTTTTCCAAGGTCAAATATCAGGCAAAAATAGTAAACAATTTCAAATAATTGCAAAGGCAAGCTACTGAGTGTTCTAGGTAGGGCCTCATGAGTGAGTTCCAATTATTCACTGCAGAACGCGAGTGAAAAGGGATGCTTGAGGAAGTTCTTTTGAATGGTGGAAAGTGTAATATCGGGATACTTCAGAAATTATCCAATGAATAGAGTATGATTGGTGACCATTAGTACCCTGCATTTATTAGGAGGTTTCTAATTCTCTAGTAATAATAATAATAAATATTCCTAGATAAGAATATGTAAAATGAGGCATGTCATTTTACAGACAAGATCAAACTGTGACATATGCTACAGGTTTTACGTTAAAAAGTTACTAAAATACGTTGGTATGTTGTAAGACTAGTTTGTTGCGTAAACAGAGGATAACTCTTCATACATTGGAATATTAATGATAGTAAGACTTTAATGTTCAATGTGAGATTTGATGGAGGTTACGTTGCGACAAGCTATTGGTGGTCGAGAATGGACGGGATTATAGTCCAGAGCAGTCGTTTGAAGATGACAACTTTAACGTATTATTTTGCGCTTTTTGGTAGCCACAGCAGGTGAATTTCGGAAGTATTATTGATGGTGTAGGACGAAATCATAAGTTCCACGTACGTATACGGTTCGTAATGAAAACACTGAACCTGATTCCTAACCCTAGCCATCAACTGCAAATCATAATCCTTATTTCTTACGGTGGCTTATAGTCGTCATTTAGTCCCGTCTAGTAGGGTCACTTTAGCGTCGCTCCAAGTTTGTCCACAAATTATAATCCCGCCATGTTTTCATTTGTGATGGAATAATAAAGGTATGGTCACTAAGACTCATTCTCTTTTATTAGATCAACTTCTAAACAAGTATGTTTCATCAGGTCCAAGAAAACAAGCCACAGTATGTCGTTGAATTGAAATGGTTTAAGAGAACTGAAAGTTTGTGATTGTGTATTTTAAAAATCATTAAGAAAACAGTGTTCGAACGCTGACTGGCATTTTTTGGTCAAATTTATTACAACTCGTCTTTATTTTATAACTTTTAAGTCATGAGTGAACTCTTATTTGGCGTAATTGTCCAGTTTTGACTGCAATAGAATTTCTCAGTAGGGAGAGAAACTAATTCTGGGTTACATACACGGGTCAAGGAGGTACTTAGCACAAGATTAGCATCAGTGGTTCAAATGTTTGTGGACGGAATAGAAGAAGCTTTCGCTTGACAGGCTTCTGTGTCTAGTAGCAGTGGATCACCAATAAAAGGAACTCACAACTATTTAGGTATTCTAAGCTTCCTATGATCGAACATAGTTGAGCGGCACTTATAGGGTTAGCGAGTTTTCTGACTATGAACTGGTGGGCGAAAAGTTATTTTTTAATGCTCATGCAGTTTATGTTTGCGGATGATTCTTTACAATCAGTCAACGATCCTCGGTCTAGAGATGTGGTGTCGATGGGGGGATAAGGGTGATTCATTGTCGTAAGCCAAGGTACTTCTGAGGCTCAGTGTGTACAACACCACCAATTGTTATGGGGATCAAAAGAAAAACTCACCAAACACGTTGTTGATTATTTGCTGTTTGTAACATAATAAAAGTAATAATATATGTTTGTTACATGACGCATGCCAGTTTACAGGCAAGATCAAATTACCAAAAAAGATACAATTTTCACTGTAGTAAATTACTCAGCTAGGTTGATATTTTATGAGATATGAATGCAGATGGTTTTAGTAAGAATCGTATTGTCAATATCACAGTTGGCACGCCTTTTGAAGGCTGCGTTGCGACGTGTAACCAACGGTCGAGAATAGATCCATGTGAAGTTAGGGGCCTCTAGAAACCGCAACCTTATATCCCTCTGAATGTCTGAGGCTTTAATGAAGGTGCAGGAAGAAGTCACCCGTTCTACATCTGTTTTCAGTGTCATATTTCAAGGGGGCTGAAAAAGAGTGCAAGAAAAAGAAAGGATGAGAAGCAGAGCAGACAATGTCTATGAAGGAATATTTAATGTATGACTACTCAGTCTAATTCTATTTTATTAAGGTATTTATTAGGCAAGATCATTTAATATGTTAAAGAAAATAAGTGTAAGCAAGATATGAGTGGATAAACAACCGAAAAATGGAAGTGGCTTAGAAAGAAGCTGGAAGTATGGGATTATGTGTTGTTATCAAATACAGTGCTGAAAACAGTGACTAAGTGCCAGTCGGTTATTTAATCACATGTTTATGTGTTGGATGATCAATTGTTAAGTGTAGCTTAGCTTAGATAAGCTCCATAGGCCTGTGGAAAACTTTGGACTGGTCCATAAAGTAGCTTGGAGAAGATTTTAATCGAGTTAGCGTTTGGCCTGACCAGATGTTTACTGGCAACCCATTCCATAAGCCTGCATAACGTGTGACAAAGATAGTCGAATTTACTTAGCTTTTTGGTCACGAGATCGTTAGTACGAAATCCTGATTCCGACGGTTTTGGCAAATTTTAACACATCACATATTACTACAATTTTATTATATAGAATTTTGTAAAGCATTATAAGGTCGCGTTAATTCGTCTTAACGATAAGGATTCCAGTTTCCATGCTTCTCATCTATCTTTATATGATAGATCAGGTGCGAGAAGCCTTTTAAAATGGCGTTGCGCTTTCCGCCGGTCCATTGAACGCATGCAACTAAATATAATTGGGCAGTAATCCAATAGGGGCCGAACATATACCCCATAGAAAGTTATTTTGGATTCTTTTAGATGGAAATAATTATTAATAAGTCCAATAAGTCTACGAGCTCTGGAGACACGGGATGTAGCCTGTACGGTGAGTGAAAAGCCTTTAGAATATTTCACTTCTAAGCCATAGATGCCACTTAGTTGTCTGTATTCAAAATTTTCCAGCTGCAAGCATATCTGAGGATTAAACGTCCCGAAATACATGGTTACTTCTTGTTATTGGGGCTCAGTACGGCCTAAGATGTTACGGATTTAAGAAAAAGACGATTTGGCTTTACTAAAAGTATCAGTTGTCTTCGAACCTGACAACAGTCACTTATACTAAACACATCAAACCTTGATGTCTAAGGCAGAAATAAGAAGGAATTACAGGAAACTTGATATTCATGATAAGCTATTTCAAGGAGTGATCTTTCT